TCTCGCCTGCTCCTCCCCTCAGCAGTGTGTTTCAGTCAGTCTGCCTGTTCTGTTCCCCGCTCTGTCTATGGTGAATCCTCTCACCCTCCCGCTCATTGGGCCTGTACCCCGGTTCTTGTATGCATGAATAAATAAATCTTAAAAAAAAATATGCACCAATAATTACACAATGCTCTTTATAAAGAGAGAAAGAGAGAAGTTTTTTGATCAACTTTGGAAATAATTAGAACATTAACTCCCTAATATGAAATTGGACAACTGAAGGGGAAAACTTTAGCATTTAACCACCTTTTGGTACAGCTGTATTTTAGTGTAACAGCCCTGGTTGATGAGGGAAAGTTTATCTTTACAAATTACTCCCAATTAAACAAACAAACAAACAAACAAAAACAAATTATTCTCAATTACTAAGAGGAATTAACAACCACTAGAAAATTATCAATGACTTAATGAAATAATCATTCATTTAATGAAATAATTAATCCAGGCGATATAAGCACTGTAGTAATTATCTATTGTAACAGATTACTCCAACATGTAGCAGCTTAAACAACAAATATTTATTTAAACTTATTTATTGAAGCAATACTGATTTATAACATTCTATAGGTTTCAGGTGTGTAGTCTTGTAAGTCAACATCTGTATTACACATCATGTTCTCCACCACCCATCACCCTTTACCCAGTTTGCCCACTCCACTTCCTGCTTCCCTTCTGGTGACCACTGATTTGTTGTTACAGTCTAAGAGTTTGTTTTTGTTGTTTTGTTAGTTCATTTGCTTTGTTCCTTTATCTACCACATGCGGATGAAATTATACAAACACTTATTACCTCACAGTTTCTGTGGATCGGAAACTGAACATGACTTTAACGTGTGCAGTGTCTCCCACAAAGTCCCAATGAAGGTGTCAGGTGGGAGCTGCAGTCATCTAAAGATTTGACTGGGATTGGGGATGGGAGGAAAGGACATGGCAGGTGGGGGGTGGGGGATACCCTCTAAGCTCACCCATGTGGCAGCTGGCAAGGACCTGAGTCCTGGCAGGTCTCAGGTCTCAGGTCCTTGCCAGCTGTTGGCCCCAGATGTGCTCTCCTTGCCTCATGGACTTCACATGTGCCACACACTGTGTCTCCCTGAAGTATCTCAGACATGGCAGCAGGCTTCCCCATACCTGGAGTGTGAGTGAGAGCAAGAGAGGGAATCCAAGGCTGAGTCCATAGGTTTTCTGTAACCTAGTGTTAAAGTGACACCCCATCACCTCTGCTGCATGCTGTTCATATAAGTCCATCATAAGTGCAACCTACACCCAATGGAGAGAATTTTAAGGGTGTAAATACTAGAGTGGGGATCATGGAAGCCTCGTAGATGATAACGATCACAATCACCGATGCTTGGAGGCCATTAGGTGAAAGGCTTTTGGGAAACTTTTCATTCCGAGGCATCAGCTGTCCCCATTTGAACCTACTACTCAATCTTATAATCACTCAAAGAGGAATAACCGTATTAGTTGCCTTTTGCTGTAGGGCACACAGCATCATCTCATGAAATATTCTTCCAAAGAGTTGAATCTAATCAGCTCTTTAGCAAAATCCAATTTACAAGAAATCCAAATGATAAGAGAATAAATTAAATGACACCATGAGGGTACAACTGTAGACTGTGGGACTTTCTAAGGGAAAATGGGCCTATTTCTTCATTAAGTCAAGTGCCTGGGAAAAAAAGGCAAATTGCTATAGATGAAAAGAAACTTAACCACCCAATGCAATCTTTAGACCTTGCTTGGATCCTGATTGAAACAAATTAACTAGAAAAAGACAGTCTGTTTCATAACAATGAGGAGACTTTGGATATAGATAAAGAGATGGTTCCAAGGAGTTAATGTTACTTTTTCTTGACATGATAATGGCATTGTGGTTATGAAAGCAAATGCCCATATTTTTCTGAGATGCACACCAAAGCTATAAGGTATTACATGGCTAAGATTTGTTTTTTCAATAGTTCAGCAGACACAGTTAACACAACAAAAGAAATTAGAAGAAACAAGTGTGGCAAAATCTTAAAAGTTGAATCTGGATGATGGGTAAGTGCAAGTTCTTTATATGTTTTTATGGATGTTTAAACATTTTCATAATAAAAATGGAAAGAAATAATGAGAACTAGATGGTTTTATAGCTGAATTCTAGTTAGATTTTAAAGAATAAATATTTTTGATATTTAAATAGCTAAAGCTTCATAAAAAGTTGGTCTGTCTTTTGAAACTTTTTTATAAAGTATAATATTCTTGAAGAAAAGTTTGCAATTTAAGTATTTTTGCAAATTGTACACATTTGAGCATATAGATTTTTTATTTTTTTATTATTATTTTTTTAAGATTTATTTATTTGTACAAGCACTGTGGTACCAGAGGCTCAGGAGGGTGAGAGAATTCACCAGAGACAGAGTGGGGAGCAGAACAGGCAGAAGGACTGAAGTACACTGCTGAGGGGAGCAGCAGATGAGACAGGAGAGTTCTGCCCAGCCATGTGGGAATCTCCCTGGCTGGTCCAGAATTGAACCCACACTGCAGAGGCTGTGGACAGCTTCACAGCGCTGTGCTCAACCTGCTATGCCACCGGGGAGGCCCAATAGATTTTTTAAAAATCCAAAATATGAGGACCCCAGAAACTTCCCTCATGGCCATTTCTACATGGTATCTTCTGCCCACCACTATGCTTGCTAAAGCCAAAATGTGATTTTTAAAAAACAGCTGGGACTACATCAAATTAAAAAGCTTCTGCACAGAAAAAGAGACACTATTTTTGGGCATTTGGGTTGTTTCCAGGTATATTTTTGAATCAATGTTTTGTGTCCTTTGAGTAGATCCTTAGGAGTGGAATTGCTGGGTCATCTAATAACTCCGCTTTCATAGACTGAGGAACCTCCACACAGCTTTCCATAGTGGTTGGACCAGTTTGCACTCCCCTCAGCAATGTAGGAGAGTTCCTTTTCTACCACATCCTCGCCAACATTTGTTGTTGCTTGTTTTTTTGATATGTGCCATTCTTACTGGTGTCAGGTGGTATCTCATTGTGGTTTTGATTTGTAATTCCCTGATTATAAGGAATGTTGAACATTTTTTCATATGCCTTTTGGCCATTTGCATTTCCTCTTTGGAGCAGTGTCTTTTAAATTATTCTGCCCATTTCTTGACTGGATAGTTTGCTTTGCTTTTGTTGAGTCATGTGGTTTCTTTGTAAATCTTTGTCATCAGTCCCTTCTCCATTGCGTGGAGTGCAAAAATTTTCTCCCAATCAGTGGGGTGTCTCTTTGTTTTGGTTAATGTCTCTTTTGCTGTACAGAAGGTTTTCAGTCTGATGTAATCCCAAGTGTTTATCTTTTCCTTGACTTTCTTAACTTGGGGGATGAGTCTTTAAAGATATTACTGAGATGTATGTCTTGTAGTGTTTCACCTATGTTTTCTTCTATGTATTTTATGGTTTCAGGTCTTATGTTCAGCTCTTTTATTCATTTAAAAAAAAAAGATTTATTTATTTATTTATACAAGATCCGGGGTACAGGCCAGATGTGCGGGAGGGTGAGAGGATTCACCAGAGACAGAGCAGGGAACAGAACCTGCAGGCTGATAAAATACACTGCTGAGGGGAGCAGCAGGTGCAACCAGAGAGGTCAGCCACGCCATATGGGACCCTCACCGTCAGGCCAGGATCAAACCAGCACTGCAGAAGCTGCAGACAGCTTCACAGCGCATCGCTCAACCACTGTGCCACCAGGGGAGGCCCTCTTTTATCCATTTTGAGTTGATTTTTGTGTATGGTGAGAGGTAGTGGTCTAGTTTCAATCTTTTGCATGTGGTGGTCCAATTTTCCCAGCACCATTTATTGAGCAAACTGGCCTTGCTCCATTGCATATTCTTTGCTCTTTTGTCAAAGAATAGTTGTCCAGGAGCCTCCCCAGTGGCACAGCAGGTTGAGCACAGTGCTGTGAAGCTGTCTGCAGCCTCTGCAGCAGATTCCCACATGGTGTCACATACCTCTTCTGCCGTGCCCACTGCTCCCCTCAGCAGTGCTTTCAGTCCATCTGCCTGTTCTGCTCCCCACTCTGTCTCTGGTGAATCCTCTCACACTCCCACGCCTCTGGCCTGTACCCCAGCTATTTTATAAATAAAAAAAAAATTTTTTTAAAAAGTACTCCTTTAAAAAAAAAATTAGTTGTCCATATATGTATGGCTATAATTCTGGGCTCTCTATTCAGTTCAATTGGTCTGTGTGTCTGTTTTTGTTCCAATACCAAACTGTTTTAACTATTATAGCTTTGCAGTATAGTTTGAGGTTTAGAAGTGTGATACCTCCTTTCTCCTTTGTTTTTGTCAGTAGAGCTTTGGCTATTTGCAGTTTTTTTTTTTTTTTGTGGTTTCGTATGAATTTCATCAATATTTGTTCTATTTCTTTGAAGAATGTCATTGGCTGCATTTTTCTCTTCCAAGCTTATTGATTTGTTCTTTTTCAAGTCTTCCTTTTTCAAAGATCCTATTTCCTTCTTTACGTCTTTGAGCAGTTAAGATTATTTTTAAGTTCTAAGATTGTTTTCTATTCATATTCTCAGGCATTAATTCCTCCATTTCTTGAATTTACCAATTATTTCTATGATATTGGACTTCTTCATGTGCTTAAATTTTTTAAAATATCTACTCATGTTTGAGATTTCTCCTTCATATGCACCATTTCTTTTCATATGAGCTTCTTGGCCTCAAGTAGGATCCCATGCATTAGCAGGCCCAAAACAGGTCATATATTAGCAGACCAATTTAGATCTTCTACTCCACATTAATGGTTTAATTTTGTACCTTACATGGATATTGCATAGACTCGGTTCTTATGCTCCATGACCTACTGCCGTGTATGTGTATATGTATATATATATATATATATATATATATATATAGGTATATTCTTTATATATTCTTATATATATATGTTCAACACTCTCGAAAGCAAAATAGATTACACATTCCATTTAAGAGGATGATGGTACATTTAGGAAATCAACCTGAGGATAAATGATCAAAGACCTATGGACAAGAGGGGGTGAAGAAGTATCAGGCATCTGCTGGCTCTGCACAAATCTCTTCTCGCTGTTGTATTTTATCTCTATGGTTGAATCTAAAGTGTTGCGCTTCCACTTTACAATCCCCTTATAATATCTCCATTCCAGATCTCTTAAATCCAAGAATTGTTTTTCTGGAAAAAAAAATTTATCAAAGAATCAGTTAACTTTCAGTTATTGAGAAATGTTTCAGGGACAGAATATACCTTTTATGAACTTGAATCTCTTCCCTTTTAAAAAGCTGTTCCTGAAGCTTTATAAACTAGGAGGGAACCTATGGTGCTCATGTCATCTAAAGCCCTCTTTTAAATAAAGACCCTGCAGGGCCACAGTGGGTTTGGGCTTTTGTTATATACCAACTCTTATTAAGTCTTAATATTTTATTTTTTAGTGGGGAGGGAGTGTACAGTAACTTAATTTTAACAGAGAAACTAGACTGCAAGCATTCTACATAATTAGAGTAGGTGGGTATCTTTCTGATTAGATTAGGTGGGTATCTTTCTGAAGGGTAGAGCTGAGCCCAGCTGATAGCACATACTGGTTAAAACCAAAGCCTACAGCATCCTCTTCCCCCACATTGCCCCTCTCAGAATGAGGGATGAGTGACAGCAGAACAGCACTGAATAAGAGACAAATAATCATTGAAGAGGATATTGAAATAAAATTCTTAATATTTCTTATGCAATTTCCTGTGTGATGCCAAACTTTATTTGGGTTCTTTTGTGGATTATATAGGTCATTTCTATAACTTCGCAGATGATCCTCATCTGGCTCCCTCTTTTATAGAGAGCAGAAAGTTTAGAACTCTATTCACCAGTTTCTTGTGATAATGTTGGCTGTTGGGCACAGCCTAGCCAACAGGATGTAGAAAGTAGCCACCTGAAAAAGGGAGTTCTGAGGAAACTTTGCTTCCTTATTAAAAAAAAAAAAAAAAAAAAACAGGACAGAAGTAGCCAATATGACTCTATGTTCTAGCTCCCTCCCCAGCATTGGCCATAGTGTCTCAAGGTGTAGGAAACATTTTTTGGCTATGGAGACAAAACCATACATGTAAAGATGATAGAACCTGGATCTTCAATGATACCAAAGAGCATTGCTCTAGCTTTGTATACCTGCATCTGTACTTCGAATTATATAAGAAAATTGCCATCCCTCAAAATAACCTGCTATTTTTGATCAACACATTCATAACCTACATTGTCCTACAGGATTTAACATGAGCAAGAGAAGTTTATATGATAGGAGAAGAACAAAATGGAACTACCCCTTTCCTCCTCCAGTGTTTAGTGTTAGTAAGGGTATATTCTTTATATATCTTAAACCTTTGGTTTACCAGTAGTCTTAAAGTTCTCCTGGACTAAGAATCCAATAGGGATTGGCTGGTTAACAAAATGATAGTAATACTGGGTAACATGAGACAATGAAAAATGAATTTCTACAATACCAATGAAACCTAAGGAATTACTATTATTCCTCACATGAATATCTATCTGACTTTATGAATACTCCTTAAAAAAAAGAGAACATGTCCCCAAAATACTATCTCTACAATCTGAAGGAATAAAGTCATGGAGGCAGAGAAGACACTCCAACAGAGTTTGTGAGGCCAATTGTTGGTCTCTGTCAAGACATCAGTGAAGTGAGTTATAACAAAGATACTTTCAGCATCTTGGACCAAATGTTGTCAGAGTAATCAATCTGTTCCTTTAAATTTGTGCTTTTTGTCTTTCCCATTATATTTGTTTGTTTGTTTGTTTATTTATTTATTTAATGAATGAAGTACCATTGTTTTACATCCTTGTAATTTTTTGACAGGATAGGATTTATCACTTCAGGTCCCACTACTTTTAATATAAAGGTAATGATTTTCAAAAATATTTTCTGTGCAATGGTCATAACTTGAGTCAAGAACCTATTTCAGAAGAAATGTAATATATTATAGTGATATATTATAGTAATATATTATAATAATTATAATATAGTGTTCTAGAATGACAAAATACCACTTCCCTCAAATTACATAGGAAAAATGGAAACCTTATGATTAACACAATCGCTTCTCATTAAAAAATCATCATATGTTTTATATATTTTATTACTTTCTTTGTATATTCTTTTGCCTTTTATGAGTACTTTCCTGTTAAAGAATCAGATGAAAGGAACATTTCCGTCTGTTGGTTATAGAGATGTAACAATAAGGAAAGGATATGATTTCATAAAAAATATCCTTACAACTTTCAATTGCAGTAAAGCCAGGATAATTAAGAAAATATAAGCCACTATATAAAATCAATTTACAAATTTTCAACTAAAATTGACATTTTTATACAAACACAATGAAGTACAAGAGAAAGAAATCAAGAAAAGTATACCATTTTTAGTTATATCAAAAAGAATATTGTACCTAGGAAAAAACTTAACAAAGAAGGTGACAGACCTGTACAAATGATAACAATAAAATATTGTTAAAAAGAAATAAGACAGAACTGAAAGGATATTTTCTGCCCACAGATTAGAATTAACATTGTTAAATTGTCCATCTTATCCAAAGAAAAATACAGATTCAAGGTAATCCCTATCAATTTATCAAAGAAATAGAGCAAACATTATTGAAATTTATATGGAACCACAAGAACCTCAAATAGCAAATGGAGTACTCACAAATATAAATGGAAGAATCACATTCCCAGCCTTCAAACTATACCACAAAGCTATAATAATCAAAAGTGTGTGGTATTAGAATAAAAATAGACACATACATCAATAGAATAAAACTGAGAACACAGAAATAAACCTAACTTAAATGGACAGTTAATTTATGACAATAAAAGAGTATTTAATGGGTAAAGAAAAGTCTCTTCAACAGAGAGTGCTGTGAAAACTGGTCAACCACATGCAGAAAAATGACAGTAGACCACTATCTCATACCATACACAAAAATTAATTCAAAATACATTAAAGACATGGATGTAACACCTGAAATCATTAAAAGAATAGGCAAAACACTCTACAACAATGACTTCAGAGATTTCTTTGGAGACTTTATTCCAATACTTGCAAAAATAAACAAAAGGGGCTACATCAAGCTAAAAAGCTTCCACAATGAAAGAAACTATCATTAAAATGAAGATACTCTATTGAATGGGAGAAAATATTTGCACATCATAATCAAACAAAGGGTTAATATGCAAGAAATACAAAGAACTCATACAACTCAACAAGAAATAAAATGATCCAATTTTAAAATGGACAGAAGATCCAAATACACTCTTTTCCATTAAAAAAAGACAGATGTTACTGAGATGTATGTCTTGTAGTGTTTTACCTATATTTTCTTCTATATATTTTATGATTTTAGGTCTTATGTCCAGTTCTTTTATACATTTTGAGTTTATTTTTGTGCACAGTGAGAGGTAGTGATCTAGTTTCATTCTGTTGCATGTGGTGTCCAGTTTTCCCAGCACCATTTATTGAACAAACTGTCCATGTTCCATTGCATATTCTTTGCTCCTTTGTGGATTTTTTTCTGGGTTTCTATTCGATTCAATTGGTCTGTGTGTCTGTTTTTGTTCCAATACCAAATTGTTTTAATTATTATGGCTTTGTAGTATAGCTTGAAGTTTGGAAGTGTGATACCTCCATTCTCCTTTGTTTTCATCAGTAGAGCTTTGGCTATTCACGGTTTTTTTGTGGTTCCATATGAATTTCATAAGTATTCTATTTCTTTGAAGAATGTCATTGGATTTTTATTGGAATAGCATTGAATGATGATTTACCTTATAGCAGGAATATAGGGGAATCAAATAAGACATCAGTGTAAAAAAATAACAACAATATAAAACACAACAAAACAAAAACAGACAATTATAAATCACAGACATCCTGCAGAGAGGAGAAGAGAGAGAGATCAGAGGGAGGGAGGGAAGAGCACAGGAGACTGTAGTGATGGTGCACGGGTGCATTGGTGAAGGAAATTCTATAGGGACTACACTTGGAGGGGGGGAAGCAAATATTGTTTAAAAATAAATAATGTTGTAAAAAAAATAAATTGAAAAAAAGACAGATGACCAAGAGGCATATGAAAAAGTATTCATTATCACTTATCATCAGGAACATGCAAATCAAAACCATAATGAGGTACCCACCACCTTACACCTATAAGAATGGTCCACATCCCAAAGACCAGAAACAAGTATTGATTTGATGAGGATGTGGAGAAAAACCAAAGTTATACACTATTGGTGGAATATACACTAATTCAGTCCCTATGGAAAACGGTGTGGAGGTTCCTCAAAATATTAAAAACAGAACTAACATAAGATGCAGCAATTCCATTTGTAGGTATCTATGTGAAGAATAAAAAAAAAAACACTATTTTTAAGGATAGATGCATTCCTATGGTCATTGTAGCACTATTTACAATGGCCAAATTATGGAAACAACCTAACAGCCCAATGACAGATAAATGAATTAATAATATGTACATCCACACACTATGGGATACTACTCAGCTTTTAAAAAAAAGTGAGAAATAAGCTAAGGAAGAAAATGAAACCCATTGAGTCCTCTGCTGTCTGTCTCTCTCAATTCATCTGCCTTGAAATAAGTGCCTTAAAATTCCTTTATATCACCTATTCTGAGAGAAAGGGAGTGAGAGGGCTCTGCAAACAAGTGAGCACTAAAACACAGGTCAAGCAAGGCTGCTGGAGCACCCCCCTCCTTTTCAGAACTGAGTAGAGAGAGGGAGGGCTCTGCCATCAAGGTGAACTGTGGTTGCCAGGAAAGTGCAGGTTTGCCTGTGGGGGCTGTTGGAAGTCAGGGATCCCACAATCCCCTTCTGGAACTGAGTAAATACAGAGGGAGAGGATCTTTAGGGACAGTGCCCATCATTGTATCCACAGCAGCACTACCCTTGTGGAGTCTGGCATAATAGTGCAGGACCCAGTCTGGCCACCAGTTCCTGATATCTCAGAAAGAGCACCCCAAAAAGATGCCCTCCAGTACCAGTCACACAGTGGCCCACACATAGAACAAATTAGAAAGCAAACAACAGGGAGAAGGAAAAATACAAATAACTAAGCAAGCCCTCAGTGAAGGACACACCACAAAAAGACAATCAGCCGCCAGAATTCAA